AAGGGAGTAATGTGGGTGATGCCACAGCTGTATCATCCCCCTGGTCCAGGGCAGGGGCTGACCCAGTGTGTCCATGGGAGAGCCCCACATCTCTCCATGCCCCAGACCCACAGTGGGACCCTATGAATGTCCTTGTAGGACACTGGGACAGGATGTATCAACCATTACCCCCTTTAGGAGGACCCTGCCCCTGATGAGCTGGGGTACCCCCTGCATTGCTTTCCCCTCCATCTACTCCAGGATCCCCATGCTGGGTATGATCAGTCCTGGCCCCATGCTCATGTGGTCTCTTCCACCATGCTTTTTCTTGTAGGGTGTACCTAAAGCATGGCAGCACCCCAGGGTGCTTCCATGGATGCCTGTGATGCCCCAGGATGATGCAGGGTGCAAGGGAGAGGATGATGCAGGGTACAAGGATCTGCCTTCCTGATCCTAGAAGGAGGCTGTTGAAGATCTGTGGGATCCATCCAGGAACCAGGAAGCCTCAGTGCCTACTGGGGCTCTCTCAGTCCCTGCATCCCACTGAGTCATGGTGCCTAGGACAGGCCTGGGAGTCCCCAGGGGCTCCCTGCACATCCCATAGGATGGGATCAGTGCTGCTGCCAAGGCAAAGCCACCTCCATCACGTTGTGCCTGAGCCCTCAGGCAGGTCCCCAGGCCCCCAGGTCTCCCATGGCACTTTTTTGGCCAGAGCAGCTCCTGCATGGCCCAGGAATGATCTCCCGGGGTTATTTCTGACTCACAGGACAGGAAGCGTTTCAGGGTTTAAGCTGAGCTGAATAATGTGCTCATTTCCTTGTGCCGACTACAAAGCACCTGCTCCGGGGGATTTATGGAGTGCCGCCTCTCGCGCTCGCTGCCCACACGGATGTTTTCCTGTTTTCGGGATGGACGGCGGGTGCCAAGGCCTGTTTTCCTAAACACTCCGCACGTTTCCTTGAGGAGAGCCCAGGCAGAGCTACGGGATGCATGCAGCACCCCTCTGTGCTGGGGTACCAGGGTGCTGGGGTGCCAGCACACTGGCAGGGATGAGGGCAGCGGGGATGCGTGGGTCACACACCGGTGCCAAAACCTGGCCTGGCACAGAGCAGGGATTAACAGCACAAGGGTGATGGAAAGGGATGGAGCATGGGGGAGAGCAAGAGATGAGGCTGTGCGAGAGGGCAAGAGGGAAAGGGAGCCTGGGGAAGTCATGGCGTGGGGCTGCTTGGACCATGGAACTCCACCTGAGAACCAGCTGTGCAGAGGACAGACCCAAAATGGGGTGGGCAGAGCACATGCTACAGACACCACCCCATAACGGACCCAATCCCATGGCTTGGGACCCCAGACACTATCCCATAAGAGACACCATCCTATAGCTTGGGACCTATGGACACCATCCCATAACAGACCCTATCCCATGCTAGGCACCCACAGACATCATTCCATAACAGACCCCATCCCACAGCTTGGGACCCACATGGCTGGGTCCCCACAGACACCATCCCATAACAGACCCCATCCCCATGGCTGGGGACCCAGACACCATCCCATAACAGAACCCATCCCACAGCAGCACCCCCACAGACACTAACCAACCCAGGCTTGTGGAGCCCCTGCTAAACACTGTGCCCATCCCATGCAGTGGAAACAGCTCTTCCCTTCCAGCAGGGTCAGTGTGTGTGTGCCGAGGCCAGGGACTCCCATGGGAGATGCAGGACATGCCAGCGTGCCTCCCAGCTCAGGCTCCTCCAGTGTCACCGAGCTCCATCCAGAGGGCAGCAGAGCAAAGCGATGTCGAGGTTTTCATCCTGTCCCCTCTGCGTTGTCCCCTTCATGGAGCACCAGCCCCATTGTTTAGCCCTGGTGGGGTTGGTTCTCATCCCACCTGTACTTCCAGCCGCTGGGAGCTATCCCATCTGGCTTACCAGCTACAGGACAAAGGATGGAGTGAGCTGGTTGCCATGTCCCGGGCAGCCCTTTGTACCCCTCTTCCCAGCTTCTGGTTGCCCATCTCTCTCTGCCCCCCTGCTTGCCTCTCCCTGGGGGCTGGCCATTCCAGTGAGCAGGGTAAATGAACATAGCCTAAAGCTGGCATCTCCTCTGCCTGCACCCTGCCCGCTCCCTGCCTGCACCCTGCCCTGGGGGCTCTGGAGCTCAAAGCATCTTTGAGGCATTGAGCAAGTGACCGACATCCTGCAGCCACCCTGGGCCCGAGGCAGCACCAGGGCAGCTCAGCTGAGTGATAAGTTGGGGTTGGGTTTGTTGGGGTTTTATTCTCTGTTTAGAGAGAAAATAAAGCACTTGTGGGGAGCAGCAGCCAAGCTCCCCAGTGCCTAAAACAGCAGTCGCAGCACTTCCTCGGATTTATGGTGTTTGCTTTCACAATGCCAGCCGGGATCCTGTTTGCTTCCTGCTCTGCAGCTGCAATCCCAGCTGAAGGCTCAGGAGATTCAGGTTTTATAACACTCCTGGATCCTGCCGATGGCAACTTGTCCAGCATCTTTTATTAGCCCCGTGCCTCCCATGGGGATGAGGTGAGCTGCTCTCACCCCTTCCCAGCACCCACCAGTTTGGGTGCTCATGTATGCCCATACATAACCTGCCATCCTCTGGAACCAGGGGCTGAGCAGCAGAAGGACCCAGCCTTTGCTGGGAGAGGAGGGCAATGCTGTGCCCTTGGTGGGTGCAGCACGCAGCTCTTCTTGGGCAGAGCTGCAATCCAGAAGCCAAGCCAGGAAGGCGCAGCTCTCGTGCTGTGGGGATGCTGAGACATGGATGTGACCTTCTGCAGGGTCTGGGGATGCTGAAGGATGGTGACTGCTCCCCAGCAGTGTTCCTGGACGTGCAGCCAGTCCCTGCTGTTGGCCTACGCATGATGAAGTGTCTGAGCTTACAGTGAGGTACCTCCTTCCAGCCCCTACGTCCCTTCTGTAGCTCTTCCCTGGGTCTCAGCTGTCTCCCCATGTTGTGAGCACCAAAACCAGCTCCCCTTTCTCTCTGTGGGGCAAACCCTCCTCTGGGATGCACTTTCTAGTGCAGCTAGAGGGTATCAGCATCCTTTGGGTACCAGAACTGAGCTCTGGAGCACCAAGCTCAACTCCAGCTGCTGCTTCCCAAGCTACAAGCCCCATCCTGCTCTGGTCTCCGCATGGGGCCAGAAGGGTGCCCAGGGATACGAGGAGAAAGGAGAAGGAGTGAGGCCTAGAGGGGGAAGAGCTATGTGGGGCCACCAGCCCCATCCCCAGCCTACAGCCACAGTATGGAGGGTGCTTCACGCTACACGTCCCTCTGCAACGTGCCAAGGGGTGTCCTGACTCCCTTTCCTCCGCATCTGCATTTACCCAGCAAACAGTGCTAATAATGTGGGCTGGTAGCCTTTATCCTCTCTTTGGGAAACCGGAACAGTTACAGAGATCCCAGGAATGCCTCTGCTATGGAGCAGGAGCAGTGCCCCTCCACACAGCAGTGCGAGGCTCTCACCCCAGATTCCCAGCGCTGTTCTGGAAGCCCAGCCAGGCCATGCAGCCTCCAAATGAAACCCACCGCTTTTGTTTAGTGTTTGCTGCGCTCGGTGATGAAACCATGATGGATGGTTTCATTGTGGTTACCAGCGTGCCTGACTTCTCTTTCCAAACACACAATAGGAATATTCATTTACCGCTCTGACGACGAACGCTTTTATCCTCCTTATATAGTAACAGCTCCGCACAAAAGGGTGACTTTGATTAGTCACTGGCATGCTTCACCATCTCAGTGTATGTCCTTGTATCCAGCAGATTGCTCATGAGTGCTCTGAGCTTCTCTGATTTATTATCAGCCTTTTCCGACTGATCCCATCCTCGCTGACACCCAGGCACCCCACCAGGAGGGACACAATATCAATGCTATGAGAGCATTGGGGTAACTCCCAGAAGGGAAAATGATACAAACCTGGGGTTGGTCCTTTAGAGGCTAAAGCATAAGATGCAGGATGGGGATGCAAGAGGATGGCGTTGGGGCCCAGAGGACCAACGCAAAGCGACTGTGCCTGCAAAGCCAAAGGTGGTGAATCCAAAGCGGATAAAAGGAAGCAATTCTTTTTCACTTTTTTACTTCGTGCTTAATTAGGCTGCCACAGGAAAACGCTGAGGCCAAAATTTAGCAGGATTCAAGGAGGGATTGGGCATTTATGGGGATGAAAAAAAATACCCAGCTATGATAGCAGGTGCCAACACAAATTCTGGAAGGGATATTCAGCCTCACGCGTCAGGGTGTAAACCTATCCCAGCCCCTCCGAACACAGGGAGCTTAACACAGGGAAGATGAGCCACATATGCCATCGCTACTAACACCACCTCCTCAATGGCTGGGCCCGCTTCCTGCTCCCGGCAGCACCTCTGACAAGGGCTCTGATTTCTCTTGGCAATTCAGCCCTTTGCCGGTAGCTCTCCAGGGCTCCGACCTGCTCCATCTCATCCATCCCCTCCCTTTGACAGCTGATAACAGCCTTGTCACGTCAGCCCACAGGCAGTACCTCTGGGTAAGGGTCTGTGAGGACCATGGGCATGTTCCTGAGTTGTGTGGCATCTTCACAGAGCTGCTTGCTTCCGGCCAAGCCTTTTGGTTCTCTCTCACCATTGACCAAATGCACCTTGGCCTCTGTTTTTGTCCCTCCTGTGCCCTGTTTCTGCTGGGGCTGGTTTCCAGCCTCTCTAAGGGGCTGCTCAGCTCTAGCATCTTGTAAATGCTGCATGTGCACAGGCACGGCCCCACTTTCACGGGCACTGCTCAGATGCGCCCTGGATCATGCCTCATGTACAGCCTTCCTCACCAGCAATCACTGTACTGCCTGCTCTTGGCCAAAAACCTCATTGTCACCCCCAACCCATGCTTGGCCATGAGCCTGGCATGGCTGCAGCTTAGGAAGAGGTGAAACTGCCATGTTTTGGTACCCAGGAGCTGCGTATGAGCATCTCCATCCCCACCAAGGACAGTGCCGTTGCATCCCACACTGCTGACAGGACACCTGCGCTGCTCTCGTCCCTGCACAATGGGATGCTCCCGAATCCCTGGCTGCTGTGAAGGATCAGAGATCAGCGTGACCAGAGGGGAGCCTGGGGCTATCCTGATCAGGGTCCAGGATCTCCAGTGCTCATCATGCTGCAGAGGGCAACCCCGCTGGGGTCCCTTGGATCTCCCCTCGCTGCGGAGCCTTGCACCCACCAGGGCTTCCAACTGGAGACATTTCTGGAGGGCATGAATCAGCTTTTCACAGCTTGTTAAAAATCTTGATCCTACCTCTTGTTTTCATGCCTTTCAAATCAGGAAATGAGTTTTACAACTTTTCCAGTGGGGCACAGCTGGTGGCCAGGGTCGTAAAGCTGAACTTTATAAATATCTCTTGTTGGGATCAGGAGAGCATTAAAAAGGCGCTCAGAGCGAGAAGGGAAGAAGCAAAGGCAATAGAGAAGCAAGGCAACCTCGGTGAAGACGAGCTCAACGCTGACCATGGCCATGCGAGCACAGAAGATGGGGTGTGCTTGGCTTTGCCTGCTGCTCTCCCTCCTCCTCCAGCTGCCGGGCTCCCAGGCCAAATGTTACTTCCAAGCTAAAGGTAAGCAGAGAGGTGAGAAGGGAAGAACCTGATGGGAAGAGGAGGCCTCCGCTTTCCCTGGGGCAGCGGGGCTCTGTGAAGGACAGGAGGGAGTGTGATGAACTCAGGAGTGCGATCGTGGGCCAGTGACTAGTAGAAGGAGCAGTCTATAAACTACACAACAGCTCCCCAGGGCTCTGGCTGAGAAAAAGCTCGCTGGGCCGTGGATTGCTCCTGGCAGGAGCCCGGCTGGGGCTGAGTGTGCAGCAAACAGAGAAGGGCTGCCGTCCAGGGCTGCAGAGATGCTCAAATCCCAAGGGATGCTGGATATGGCCTCTCCTGGGAAGCAAGAGCTGCTTGCCTCTGCCCTATGCTGCCAGGGTAGTGGGGAGAGCTGCAGGGCATGGTCAGGGGATGATAGGTGGAAGCATCACCCTTGACACATGCTTGGGTATCCCATACCTGCAGTGTGGCGGAGAGATCATCAAGTGTCTTCTGTACCATAGGGAGGGTGGGAGGTCATGGCATCCCCCTGCCCCTCCTTCAGGGCACAAGGGGTGCTGAAGAGGGTCCCACTCACCCCAGGGCAGGCCCACATGTGCTCATCACTGGTTTCCTTTGCAGCTCCCTGCGAGTACGAGGGGAAGCAGTTCTCCCTTGGGGAGTCGTGGCTGAGCACCAACTGCCTGCTCTGTACCTGCCTGCACCCCGTTGGCGTGGGCTGCTGCGAGACGTGAGTGAGGGGACCAGGGGTACTGGGGTGGGATACTGCGGTCATGCTGCCCTGCCATGGCACCTGTGTGTCTGAGCCTGGTGGGTGTAAATGCGGGGTGCCAGGCCCTGGGGAACAAGGGGCAGAGGTGGGCAGGAACCCATTGAAGTGCTGAGGGTGGCGGTGAGAGTGGGGACACAAAGCAGGGGTCAGGGGTGTCGCAGCACAATGAGATGCCCAGGAGCTATGGGGGAGTTGACAGTGCCTTCTCCTGCAGTACCCAGCACCCCATTGACTTCCCTGACTGGTGTGAAGCCCACTATGACTCACAGACGTGCCAGATCTCGGTGGTGCAGAAGGCCAACCCCAGCCTGCCCTGTGTGAAGAGCCTGGAGCATGAGTGGGGCTCACCCGGCACCCCCGAGCCGCTCATCAACAAGGTGCTGAGTGCAAGGCTGAGCAGATAAAAGGCTCAGCAGCACCCCGTGCCCCCCTGGCATCCATCACGTTCCACACCTCCCGCATGCTCCAGACCTGCCCCGTCCTGTAGAGACATCACTGCTGCCACCTTCGAGGGAAACCACTATGCACACACTATGGTACTGAGTTAACATTTACACCCTAGCGCTGCCACGGTACGGCTTTGCTTCTGCCTTCAGCTCCCTGAACAGAAAGAGGCCCTCCTCCTCAAGAGATGCTCTGCACACCATGGGAAGGTAGATCCTATGGGATCTCCTCCCAGGTGGGCAGGAAACCTCCAGCTACTGAGGAAAGAGATACAGGACCAAACACATCCTTGCGCTGTACTCCCACATTTAGCCTCAAGCTAAGCAGCTCCTTCCTCCCTCCCAGACCTCTGTCCCCCTGCACAGCAGCCACTGGGAGCTCACTGGGGAGCACTGTGTATGCAGGACCCACACACCTCAGCCAGCCCCTTCTCTGCCCCAGAGCACGAGGGGCACAACACACCTCTGGAACCACTAACACCCCTGCTCCCACAGCTCCCAGGGCTGGAGGGGATCCCCAGCACTGCAGGCCAGCCCTGGGCAACATTGCAATGGAGCCAGCCCAGAGCGGGTGGCAGAGCAGGAGAACCACTAAATGTCTCCAGGGGAGGCCCCATGCCCTGCTGCAGGGTGCCCTGCCAGGTTTCAGGGAGCTGAAGTTAATCCACACGTGCCAGGATGGAGCTGGCCATCCTGGCTGCCTGCCCCTGCTGGTGCCATGCCTTGTGCTGCGCAGAGCCTTGTGTAGATGTTTCTGTTCTTGCAATAAAGGTATTAAACAAAGAGGACGTCTCCAGCCTTTTGACTGTTGTGCAAGGTGGGCTGGGTCACCCACTGGGAATGGAACCGGAACAAGGTGTTTGGGAAGGATGAGTTTTGCACATCCGGATTTTTATTAGACTTTCATTAATAAAGAAAAACTATGGAAGGGTTTGGTAGAAATGGGGAGCTGGGGGTTGAGCAGGGAGACCTCCAGAGCACAGCACACATTCACTCCAGCTCCCTAAGGATCCTGAGACCAGCAGGATGCCTTCATACCCAGGAGGGTGAACAGAGAACAGCTTGCTGTGGATCATCACTGTGGTGCTGCCACAGCACATGGCCACAGGGACACAGGACACCAGCACATGCTGGCAGCACAGAGCTGGCCTGCCAGGACCTACCTTCTCTGGGTGAGGGTAGGGTTGTGCGTACAGGACACCCCATGCAAGAGGCAGGATGTGTGCCGGGGCAGGAAAGCAGGATCCCACCCAGCCCATGTGGACAGACCTCTGCTTTACGGGTCTCTCTGTAAGGGCACAGCCTTTACACGAGGCTGGTATGGGGCTTCACTGGAAAAGCTCCCCTATCCTTTCCTTGGGCTAGGACTTTCCCTCTTGGAAGCCCCTCATGGGGTAAAGGCACGTCAGGCTGTTCTCTGGGCAGCAGACTTCTTTTTGGTGAGTGCTGGGACTTTCACCTTCACCCAGGCAGAGAGGAACCAGCTCCCAGCCAAGGGCTGCAGCACAAGATACCACAGCAAGCACAGTGCTCCTCCACCTGCAAGCAGGACAGACTTGCCCAGTGACTACAGATGAAGGGGATATTGGGATGTGCATCCTGCAACACACTGGTGACAGTTCTGCCTGCCATTCCCACTGGCAGCACATGCTTTAGCACCACAGGCCCTACCACCTCTCACCACCTCAGATGGTGATGGAATTAGTACTGGAGAACTGAGATACATAGGAAGCCAGGATGGGGTTGGTGGGAAGGACTTTGATGGGCAAATCCCAGCTGAAAGTGTCCACTTCCATCTGCTCCACCCCAGTCCAGGTGACGGCCTCTGGCTGGCTCCCACGAACCAAGCAGTTCCCCGCCGACTCACCGGAGGTCACAAACTCAAAGTGCAGCCTCCACTTCAGGGACACTGTGGGCAAGACAAGGGGTCAGCAGCCAACACCACAAGGGACAGGGACAGCAGCTGCCTCACTGCTGTGTACTAGCAAGGGGACACGCAAATAAACCCACTCCTTCCCACAGGGCACAGTCCTCCTATGGGTACAAGCAAGAGGGGGTCCCTTCCCTGGTGCCACTAACCAATGTTGGTGGTGAATCCCGGGGTAGAGCTGAGCGGGATGGGCAGGCTGAAGCTGCTCTGGGCTGTGTGAAGGCAGGCCTCCTGATGCCGGGCATGCGTGCTGAAGGACACGGGCTGCCCGCGCCGGCGCTGGAACTCCTCCTGGATGCTCTCCTCCGTCTGCAGGCTCACTGAGAACTGCAGGGCAATCACAGAATCATAGGATAATTTGGTTTGGAAAGGACCTTAAGATCATGCAGTTCTAACCCCCTGCCACAGGCAGGGACACGTCACAAGAGATCAAGTTGCCCCAGGCTCTGTTCAACCTGTCCTTGAACACTGCCAGGAATGGAGCATCCACCACTTCTTTGGGCAGCCTGTTCCAGGGCCTCACCAATCTCACAGTAAAGAACTTCTGCCTTGTATCTAACCTGAACTTCCCCTGTTTCAGTTTGAACCCATTACCCCTTGTCCTGTCACTACAGTCTCTAATGAAGAGTCCCTCCCCAGCATCCCTATAGGCCCCCTTCAGATACTGGAGGGCTGCTATGAGGTCTCCACGCAGCCTTCTCTTCTCCAGGCTGAACAGCCCCAACTTTCTCAGCCTGTCTTCATATGGGAGTTGCTCCAGTCCCCTGATCATCCTCGTGGCCTCCTCTGGACTTGTTCCAACAGTTCCATGTCCTTTTTATGTTGAGGACACCAGAACTGCACACAATACTCCAAGTGAGCTCTCAAGAGAGCAGAGTAGAGGGGCAGGATCACCTCCTTCGACCTGCTGGTCATGCTCCTTTTGACGCAGCCCAGGATACGGTTGGTTTCTGGGCTCAAGCGCACACTGAAGCCAGCTCATGTGAAGTTTCTCACTGACCAACACCCCCAAGTCCTTCACTGAAGGGCACTTGCTCTCACAACCTCAAGCAGCCCCGGTGCAAAGCCCCAGGACCTCCATTTCCCAAACGACCTCAGAACTGGAGCTCTTTTCCTCCTTATATCCCAAGGGGACCTCAGCTGGGTCCCACTAGAAACCCCACAACAGCCCAGTGGCACCCCAATCCCTTCTTCATCTCCCTCCTGCCTCTCCCCACAGTGACCCCAAAACCAGCACTGACCTGCAGACAGGGGATGTCTCCTTCTGAGAAGCTGAAGGTCCCAATGACATCCTCTCCGATCTTATACACGGTCTTAAAGATGCAGAATGTCCCCACCTTGCCACGAGTGTTGCTAATGTTATACAGGTCTGTGGAGCAAGAAGGGGGCAAGAAGAGAGTTGGGGTAGGAAAAGGATCTACTTCATACACTGCTCTGGGTTAATCACAGAGCACAGCAGATGTGATCCCTGCCTCCTGTTTGGGTGTGAAGGACAGACCCTGGAGGCAGCATTCCCATTGGGAAATGCCTGCAGCAGCTGCAATACACTGGGAAAAGGGCCTCTTTGGCTGAAGTAGGAGCAGTCTGTGACTGGCCAGGAAGAGCCAGGGAAGAAACTGTGACCCAGGCAGGACCTGATGGAGCTGCTCCAAAGCCCCAGTCAGGGCTTTGCTTTGCCAGCAAGGGTTCTGCAGCAAGCCCTGAGCTGTGCTTCACGCCCAGGTTAGGACAGCAGGTTCAAGAAGGGGATATGACCTACGCAGGCTGCGTCGGGAGGTGGCCACCATGAGCAGCTCTGTTGCCAGGTCTGCCAAGCGAGAGTCCTTCTTCAAGCCCTCCTCTGCTTCCAGGAAAGGGTTTGAGGGTGCAACAGCCTCATCCTGTGGGAACTGATAATCCTTGAGCCCTGGGGAGAAGGCAAGAGTGTTAGAAGGACAGGGTGCAGCCAGACCTGTGCCTGCAAGCAGGGCAGCATGTGGCCTTACCATGCAGCACGAGGACACGGAAGGGTACCCGCAGGAGCTTGATAGGGGAGTTGACACGCTGGCAGCCAATGGTCAGCTTGTATACATACTTCACCGATTGCCCCCGGAAAGAGGGAGGCCCGTCTATGGGCAGCGTCTCGCAGTATGAATCTGCAAGGAGCATAGAGAAGATTGAAAGGCTGCTTTCCAAGGGCAAAAGAAAGCTTCTGGAGCTGTTGCTCACAGGCTCCCTGCACCAAGGGTTAGCACCAGCAGGGGTGCTGAACTACGGACAGTGCCTGGTGCTTTCTGTTGTCTCCTTTTTTCCAACAGCATGCCAAGCGCTTCCCTGGCTTCCCTGCACCACCGCACTAATCCTCACATCACATGCACCGTCATCCAGATGCTGCTTCCAGCACATGCAACCACACAAACCAACTCTTCCGCCTCAAAAGAATGCGAAAGATGTAAAATCCAGGAACTCAAACACATAAGAGCTAAACTTGCTCATCACGAGTTCAACCTGAATTTGCCTCTGCGCACTTCCTTCGCACACTGCTTCCCCAACGTGGTCACAACGCTGCAGCCTCCTCGGGGCTCTGCTCCATGCGGCAGAGAGGTGCTGATCAATACCTCATGCCACTTTTGATACTGGCTTTACACAAACCCCAAACTCAGCAACAAAAATTAGCTTCTTCCTGTGTTTTCCTCTGAAGCACGAGACCTAACAGCCAAGAAACAAATCAAGAGACCTTCACAACAAGCTGTGGTACATCCCACTTGACAGACTGATGACTTGGACCACAAAGCCTCTGTCTCCGAGACCTCTGTGATGCTGGGGCTTGGCTTAGACCACATTCAGCCCCCTCAAAGCCCCTTGGCCACCACACAAACCCCAACGCTTCTTGACACAGCATGAACACTTCTGCAGCTTTCCCAAACCACACACTGTGCAATAAGAAAGGCACAAACAGTGAACTGTGGGAAGCCTCCACCTCTCTGGCTTGCCCACCATAACACAGATACACCCTGCCAGAGGAAGGGCACCATCCTGCTGTGAAACCACAGATCCTTCCCCACCTCTGGCACATCCTAAACATTGAGGCTTAGATTAAAAGCTAGGGTTACATTTTCAAACATAACTTCTAGACGTAAAATAACAGGACTGGAAGGAAGAAAAAAGCCCATGCTAGCGTGTAGCATCCACAAGCTGTCACACCTTAAAACACAAGCCTGCCCTGCTGGACTGGGGTGCAGATCAAGACAACAACTGCCCTGACAGGGAGGAAAATCAAAATATTTCCCAGGAAGGAAGCAGATTGCTTTTAACCCCCTGTATCAAGCTTAAAAGAGTGCTCACAAAGACCTTCATGCCCAGTGAGGATAATCTGAGCAGAGACCACCACTGCCTGAAGAGGATGAGTGGCTTGCTACCTGGCACAGGAATGCCAAGATTCAGGAAGTCCCAACTTCTGTGCATATCCCAAAAGGAAGCACATTCCTGAAGCTATGGATGCCTTCCCTACCCACCCACAGTACCCTCTGGCTGGGCTCCCAGCTGTGTCCAGGCTGCTTCCATTTCCTCTCCTCTCTGTGATCTACTAAATATTTAAAGGTATTACAAAACCAGAGAGGAGGCAGAGAACAGCCACAGAAATTGAAGGCTTCAGAAAACGTTTGATGGTGACATATCTAAAGAGCTCAGCCTGGGCATTGTGTCAAAGGGATGGCAGATGAGTCAACTTCAATATACAGGCACTATAACGAGAGGAATATATTGGGGAATAAGCTGGTGAGCAACTGAAAATAAGGCCTTTTATCAAGAGACGGCCTGACCTCAGCTGTATGTGCCAGCTCTGGCTACAGTTTAATAACATAGTGCTCTGCTG